ACACACACACACACACACACACACACACACACACACACACACAGAGAACCGTCAGAAACACGGCATGGGGTTTTTGGTAGTGTGTGAGGCTTTGAGAGTGTATGTGTTGCTTATGTCACACCTACCCTGAGTGGTGGTCTCTCCATCTGTTCCAGCGAGGGGCACAACACCTTTGTCCACCTGTACGGAGGGAAGCAGACATTGTTTAAAAATAATGTTGTACATGTGATATGTATCACAATTAAAATTCTCAAGGGAACCATTTTTTGCTTCTATAATATGACCGAGTACATCATGCAGAGTATCTGATACAAATACCCTTTCTCAACTAAACACAACTTTCCTGAACGTTTGTCCTCTTTCACACAGTTTTTCCTGATCTGCGAGTGTGTTTGTGTGTGTGTGTCTAAACACGCTGACGAGGAGTCTGTGTTTTCATATACACGTAGGAGTCTTTCTAGTTTTACCAGCCAAACAAATGATGACGTTTTTGAGTGCTGAACTGAAATACTTGGCTGCAGTATAATATCAACGCCGTGGCTGTGGGGACATTCCGAGGCAAAGCAAACAGTCAATAAAAGAAGGCCGAGCTTCAAAGACTCAAGTAAAGAGGTCTACTCTGGAGGTTTCATGGAGTGTTGTATACCTTGATGCCAACAACCATGTCCCGGTCCCGGATGAGCTGGGAGAAGTTAGTGCCATCGTCTGTGTTCTGGTAGAGGGTTTCGTGGAAGAAGATGACGCCTCCGATGCAGTTGTCGATGCGCTGGTCGGCTGTGAAGAGCAGCTGGCGGTAGCGACGCCTGTTCTCCTCTGTGTTCTCAACCCCGATGGGGTTCAAACGTTTCCCCATGCTGCCTGTAAGCAACACACACACACACACACACACACACACACACACACACACACACACATATTCAGTCATGACTTGGACTGGATGAACAGTAGAAGATCAGGACTGGTGATTTTGTGACACTTGCATCTATCTATGCATCATATTGTTCCTCTTGCGTGATTAACTTCACAAGAAAGATCTTTAGTGTTGTTGTTATTTTGCAAACCACACACACACACACACACACACACACGACGCATACATGCGTACCGGTGGATTCATCGGCTGCGAGGATGCCTTTTCCTGGAGCGACTATCCTCTCTGCGATGTCCTGAAGCTCCTTCTTCTGCTCAGGAGTCAGTGCAGGATACTGGTGAGTCATGGTGGCTGAAACAGAGAGAGAAGCCATGAAGAGGTCACATTGTTTCCACATGGAAGACTGCCCAGCGCCGGCCTCATTGTTTTGTCCCTCTATTGTCTACCTCGCTGCAGCTCTTTTTAATAAGGGCGGGAGGATGGGTGAAAGGGACAAAAGTCCTATGAGATGGCACTTCAAGTCACACAATCCCAGTAGCCAACATGTGTGTGAGTCGTGATTAAAAACCAATGAGTATGAGCAGAAGACGTGCTTCCTGATTCCTGAGAGTAAATAAGAGTTAGATATAAATAGAAAGAAACTGAAAAATATTCTCTTTGATATGTTGTCTGGCCATATTGGCAGCGGCGGCGTTATCACGACGTGCCAACATGCACACAAGCACTTCAAACCAGATTATTTTGTTCTGTATTCCCATCTGCACTCTGCCGTAAATAAGCAGTTACGTAACCCCATCCCCCATTAGGAGCACAGAGAGGGAGTGATTGTGCAACGGGGCTGCTATATATTCTGCTGACAGTCCTCATTGTAGCAGCAGGACTGCATGCAGCACGGCTCGTTCCTCAGCAACACTCTACCGTTTCTTGTTCTCCCCTTAATGTCTCCCCTTATATCTGTCTTTGTGCGTTGCACGTATACCGACCCTTTTATGTCTTTGCTTTGATGAATGCATGTCTTGTAATCACCCCCCCCCCCCCCCCCATCTAGTTTCCCTTTAAACCTCACGCTGTGCCCCACCGAGGCAGCCTACTGGACGCATACAAGATGAGCGTGCGTGGAGTTTGTAAATTCCCATTGTCGCCACATTCCTGAAACGCATCACTCCCACTAATGCCGGCTCTGCCAGGGAACAAGCTGTGACTTCCCTCTCTAGTCAGCCGCACCAAGCCCCGCCCAGCGAGCGACGTCATCGGTTATAGCTTTGTTCATCTCAAGGAATATTGGATCAGCTGTGGATGAATCCGTTTCATGGCTGGAAGCTACTCCTTGAGTGACAAACATCCTTTTAGGATAACTTGTATTTTAGTGTGAGGACATTAGATCTTACAATATAAAGCACATCAATTGTATCATGTAACACAGAATATAAACTACAAGGAGGGTTTGGTGTAGCTCAACAATAAACTGACCACTGGAAGTCAAACTGAGGCAGGTTGGTCTTGGTAGGACACTGTCTGACATTCCCTAGATCCTTTGTGTTAATCCTCAGCTTAAAGCTGTGAGATAATAACCTTTAAAGCATGCGCGCGCGCACACACACACACACACACACACACACACACACGGTGTGCAGCTACCGCAACACAGCCGTCAGGCACGGCTCGCTGCTGATAGTGAAATCCTACGTGCAGTTGAAATTACAGAGGTCAGGCCCGCCAGGGGACAATACGTCCCAAGAGCGGAAAAGTTAGACCAGGAGTATAAAGTGCACATAGACCTCTCCAGTGAATAATAGAGGCTATTTACACTTGAGAAAGGCCAACCCGAAGGCAAGGGCATAACGTGCGTTTGTGTGTGCACATCCATGCTCCACTGCCAGCCAGACAAAAGTCATGCTCAGCAAATACCTTGCTGTCTTTTGTGAAGCACCTGCGTGCATCGACAATACATTTTTACCGACTTTAGGTCAAGTGTGGTCGGTTTCCGCTGAGGAAACATTGCAAAGCAATTTGCAAGGCAACGTGAAATCTACATTTTATGCAATGCTCAGTCAAACACCAAAGGAAAGTTACCAAATATGCTTTAAAACAAAAACAAGAAAGTCCTCTTTTCAATTGGAAATATGGAGCTGAATGACAAAAATGAAGGCTGGAAATGTCTTTTATATTGCCTGAAGGCATGGAAAGAAGACCTTGAAGGACAATGCCATGCAGTGCATGTGACCTACCTCTGACATATGATTAGCCTGGAGCAGGTTTGGTGGCAAAACACTGGTTAACAAGATGTTTATATACTGTGAATAGTACATTTCTACTTCTGAGCACATTCTGTCATCTAGAAACAACAGAAACAAACTGGATTGAGGCATTGTTAAATCTTGTACGCCCTGAAAATAAAGCTATCCTTCATCACAATTAGCCACTCCAAGCTGGCGAGAGCTTTGAAAGGCCTGGTGGGAATGCTGCATAGTGTTCCTCCATTTTGGTAACAAAATGGAGGAACACGTAAACGGTAAAGATATATTGATTTAATGCCAACATGTATTGGCGGATGCACTGCTGGATGAGTGACGGTGATGGGTCTCCCTCAATGGTCTCCCTCAATGTTAACGTCACATGAAATTATTACATGAAATATAATATTACGTTTAGCGCACAGCCACCGCCACACATTCAGTGTTATATTATATTAAACCTTAATGTAATAACTGCGTGCATAAGGAGATGAGGTGTAACACCTCTGATAAACAATTTCCCGGGTGTGGAGTAACCTTTAAGTCTTTTTTTATTCTGATAATGTTTTTACAAATATTCATATAAGTAAATATTTAATATATTGATTAAATATGTGTCGTCTCGTATTGATGGATCCTCTGCTGTAGCTAACACACCCTGGAAATCAAATGAGGTATATGATTCAAGTTTCAAAACTCAACAATTATTTCTGATGGACTGTTAAGATAAGTGAAGCAATGGAATGTTTCCAGTTGCTCGAGGGCACTTCAGCCATTGGTCATTAAAAAAAGAAAATGCAGTTTTAATAGGACGACATTTGAGAAAAGGAGAGACAGCTAGAGATTAGTATTTAGTTGTCTTTACTGTCCCTCTATCGTGTACCCCTCCAGCCTGTTGCACCGTGGTCGGCCTCGCCGACACCACTTCTGCACTGCGACACCAAGATGCAACAGCCAACTCCCCACTGTGGCGTCATGAAAAAAAAACCTCAAGACTGAGATCACTGCATGTTAGCAGCCAAATGCAGTGCACAGCAATCACACTGCAGATCAGACTTACAGTTACAGATTACACGGAAAACTGACAGTTAAATTCTCATTTATACCACTCGGATGCCTTTAACTTAAGGGGAACCCATTAAACCCCAGGATGGTTACGTCACACTACAACAGTCAGTCAATCCTCTATAGAACTGATGCTGCATGCGGCCCACTTACCAATCAAGGGTGTAGTGAGACACCACAAATATACGTAAATGACAAACTCACTCCCGAATCTACATCTATAGCGATCGTGCTGCAACAGGTGATGTTTTGAAGCATTGCTGCAAGCATGAAAGTGCAATATATTTGAAGCTTGTTGACTATATTTGCCAAGTGTTTGGCTGCAGGCAGGGACGGGCACATGTAGCCTTTTAATATTATAAGCATGTGGAGTATGGAGGAGATGGGGCTGTTTGAATAGAAAACAGGATATATTTATTATTATCACCATCTTGAGGTTTACCCACCATGGTTTTTTCTCTACACTGCAAGCTGCATGAGCTTTAGGGATGTGAAATGGCTCCTACAGGGCAGCTCTAAAAAGCCTTCTTGGAGCGCTGCGTGTTGTTACCATAAGGGGTGCTGGCCTTGAAACCCACTCCTGTGTTTCTATCCTCAGGCCTTGATCCAGCAGAGCTAGCACTGTTTCCTATGCAGCTCAACAACCTGAGCCAGACGTCAAGGCTGCGTGCATTGCAGTACGCAGAGAGGGTGACACTGGTGAAAATGTGCAGATTACACGAGGTGACACCTTAAACACCGGTGAAATTAATTTATTTTTAAATCTATAATTTGCATGACAAGTTGGACAATGGGATTAAAATAGAGGTTTTTATTTTCCTCCATATGATTACTAACATTAAACTATATTATAATAGATGTTATGTACACTATGTTCTTACGTTGTGCTGTCATTCATGCATGAACCTCCATTTTGTTTCTTTACTCTAGATCTCAAATGATTAGTCAGTTAAACGATTAGTTGATTGACAGACAAATTATGAGCAACTATTAAGTTAAACGACAAATCATTTAAGCCCTGTTTTAAATAAGGGCTTAAATAATAATTATATGGGTATTTTAGCCTTTTTTGATTGTAAACTGAATATCTTTATAATTTTATGGGCATTTTTTAAAGAAAATAATCCAAAGATTAATCGACAATGGAAATAATCATTAGATGCAGATTATTAATTACTATGCAGATTTTCCACAGCACAATGTATTCCTGCGTTGGTCTATAAATTGCCCCTCATCTCAAGGCCAAGCCCACGTACTGAAACTCCTTATTTAGTCCTAAACCCAAATATATTCAGCTTATGACACAAGACTGACACACATATTCACGTGTGTGTGAACAGTGACCATTCACGCAATATAAATATAGACGTTGGAGTGTTATTATCATTATTATAAGAGGAAGTCTGGTTGTACCGAAGCGTTGACGTGTGAAGCCACAAACCGAGACCGAGCCCCGCCTCCCATCACATCACATCACACCATGGAGGTCTACGTGCTCAGGGACAGATACACACCGACAGGCACAACGGACACTGCTGCCATCCGGATAAATAACCACAATATACAGTCATTAAACACGTGAGACATCTGGAGTGTTGATTTAAACAGAGGGCGGACGCAACAGGCCCAGTCTTCATCCCTGAAGGTCATCATTGTTGTGCTCTTCCTGTTGCATATTTCGACGGTGGAGTGAAATACGCAACTTTATAATAAAACTACCAATAAGAGCGGAGACTGATATAGCTTACAGTCCAATGTGAGGATGCACGAGACACAGGTGACGATCCTGACAGTTGCAATAAATGTAGATAAAGTTAGCTTTATGTTGTGACGTTAGAGCAGCATCACCCCCATCATCGTTATAATCTATATCTATATATATCTATATATATGAATAACACATGAAGAGTGTCTGAGGCTCTTTGTATTTGGTTCTTACCTGCTGATGGGTGTCTGGGCGAAGAGAGAGCAGGTGAGCTGGTTGCGGAGGATGCAGAGCGGTCTCCTGTTTCACTGCTGCAGCGCAACGTGACCCTTTACGAACGCCTTAAACCGGGGGGCGGAGCCTGTCATCGCTGCGTCACGTGACGGTCCAAAAGCTGAATAGGCGAACGCGCATGCGTCGGGTAAGCATCACCATAGCTCAGTGCAATGGATGCAGCATGATTCTGCATCTTTGAAGGAAACAGGAAAAAGATGTGAAACGTTTTTCAATCTACAGTTTGAAGATAAATGAAACAAAAGCGTGTTGATGATCCTACAGTGCCAGGCCTCAAATTAAACAGAATAAAAACTATAGGTGTCCAACCAACAGGTTTGACCTTTTTCTGAATGAGATCCCAATCCAGACAATCCATCAAATTAAACCCATATATATGATTATAATGGTGAAAAGAAAAAGAAAATGCAAGTTACAAGCCACTCAGTGTACCTCTAATTATCTAACCTAATAATATGTTGTTTTTTTTATAACTCCTGGGCAACAATTCAAATGAACTCTTGCTGGAGAGGAATTGAGTTCAGTAGTCGACCACATATTTCTACCTCCTGATGATCCAAATGGCTGCAAGTTTTAAAAAAGCTTTTACCAAATTCTCACTTTAGAGAACACCCCCCTAATATTGACTTGTCAACCATCTATGCTCCATGGGAGAAAAAACTAATTACACCCATTTATTACAGAATGACAAAAGTGAAAAATACTGCAGTTTAATGTTAAAGCATTTATCAAGGTAAAATAAACAATAAATAATGACTTTATGTACTGTTGGATAGTTTAATGTGCTGTATAAAAAGGCCTCATATTTTATATGTTGATTAAAAAAATAGATGAATAAAGCTTGAAATAAATGTAGGGAAGTAAAAAGTACAATGCTACCTTCTGAAATGTAGTGAAATTAAAGTATACATTATAAATTGCACTAAAGCACACTTTAGTAAACGTTCACTGCAGGATACTGTACACAATGTCTTTTCTTAACCAAACACATGCAATACTTCTGCAAAAACAATGTGGCGTAACTGATAGCAAAAGTGAAGCAATGACTCTTTCTTCAAGCCATCTCACACAAACAAAAACATCCAAATCAGCAGGTCGCTGTTTAGTAAGAGTTTAATATCCCATCTGTGCTACATGGTAATTACAAAAATACAAAGTACCATAACATATAACATCAAATAGCATCCATACAATTTATAAATATGATTATATAAATATGCATTTTTTTGGTGACAGTAAAAAGCAAGCTCAGGATCATACATGTGAGGCATTCTGGGTAGCTACACATCAGGGCATACTTTACAAAATCATAATATAATCTGATGATCGGGTAAGTGCATGAAGGTGTGATTACTGGCTGGTTACGGCAGCCTTACACAATAGAAAAAGTCCTGTGTCTATCAAAATGTTAACTGGAGGTAAACAGTACTGTTGTTCATACAGTCTTAGATCATATCTGTACAGACGGGTGCCATCTTGAAGTGAAAGTCAAGGCTTACCTGGGACAACTGGCGAGTGCTCCCCTGAGTTATGAATGAATCAAACTAACGCAGACGTTGAAGGCGTTCACATCTTTATCTGATGTTGTGATGCTTGCATGACTTTAGATAGTACAGGAGGAGAGACCATTCTGCTGCTACAGAATTTAGGCAGTAAAGGTCAAGTTAGGGAGAGGTTATATCCCAGCACTAATAAAGATACAGAATCACAGCATAATCACTTAGAAGACGTGGCAAGGAGTTTCTTTCATCCACTTTTGCCAAAAGTTTTATAATCATGCAACAAGAAAATAAAGGCAGAAGTTCATAAATAACTCATTTTGCTGAGGACTTTTGAATTGATTATTACTTAACTACATAAAACTTGAAGAAAAAGAAAATAAATCTGTGCATTGTCTTCAACCAGCATGACTTTTCCATGTGACGTGAATTTGATAGCAAAGTATTAACAGGGCAGCCATGACCAGTCACAAGTTGAAAGTACATGGACAACAGCAGTGCAATCTTTCTTGCACAACTGTTGAACAAATCCAGTAGGCTTGAAAAGGTGCTCATTGGAGAAAGGCAAATGAGTAAAAAATTTAAAAAAGTGTTCAGCACGTCACAAAAAACATAAACTTGCCAATACAAGAGGGAAAGTTCTCAAATGTTACTCCAATACATCATTCTCTTCTAAACTATAGGTCAAATTAAATAATCAGCTGTTTTGGCTTTTACTAAATAAAACATTTGACATGGTGCCCCACACCTGTAAGGGTGAATAAGTGTGCAGAAAATACATACATGGAGGCCATTGCTTTAGGGTGTTGGAAACCATACTGTAAACTCCGTCACACAAACACTTCTCTACGTAAGCCTTTTTCCTGAGCAGGTTTTAGAGGGAGTGCCGGGCCGGGGAGCGGTGCAGCTGTGTGGGTTTGTGTGTCGGCATCCAGCTGTGTGTCCGGCGTGGACGGAGGGCTGAGGAACGAGTCGTAGTCGAAACCTTTGAGAGGCTGCAGAGACAAAGTGAGGCCTCGTCGAGCTTTGGCAGCTCGGTCTGGTCTCTCTCTCAGCTCCAGAATCACCTGAACAGTGACAACAACAACAGAAAAAACACTTTGCTTTTCCTAAAATCCCAATCGGACTCACGTTTGAACAACCAAACTGGCTACATTCGTCGGTTACCTCCACAGGCTGGCGCTGCAGTAGGGCGAGGTCAAAAGTTGTTCCACGGAAGAAGGTTTGGCGTTTGAAACGCTCGAGGGTCCTCAGGCGGCGGGTCGGAGTTTTGCACAAAAGCTGGTCAGAGAAACGTAGGTCATGATATGATTTCAAACTTGCCAAACTGAGTTAGTAGATACTAATGCATGTAATCAAATAGTCAGAAGTGCAGATTTAATATTTTGTAGCTATATGATGACACTTTGTGTAATTACCTCCGTTATTAACAAGGCCAGTGGGGAGCTGAGGCTGAGGGGCATTTCATAGGGAAAACTCCTCACTTTCCTCAGCATACTGCAGTGGTCTGGCTCTGGAGGCATGGGGAACTGAGGAGTGTTTGAGAAATAATTTAGATTGTTTCCATTTGCAAAGGCCAGATTTTAGACTTTTACATGGCAAAACACAAGGCTTCTAATGACTAGATTTAAGAAAACATATACCACTTTGAGTCCTTAAAACTGAATGTAAAATGACCTCACGACGAAAGCAACTAATATATTCTACACAACCTTCTTTCACGGCAAAAATCAATAACAGCTACGTCACTGAATGAAGGATTGTGAGTAATATCTGCTCATCATGCAGGACATGCCGAGCCTACCGGCAACAAGAGCTCACCTTCCCAGTAACCAATGAAAAAAGCAGGATTCCCAGCGACCACCAATCGGCTGCATGGTTGTAGGGTCCGCCACTGAGCACCTCTGGGGCTGCAGAGCAGACAGAGCACGCTCACAGCACTGCATGTACTATATTTTTGTACATTTATATTTCAATTTCCCAGTATAATTGATTAAAATAATGCACAAAACATGAGTCTGTTAATATGGTCTCAGTCAGGGGATGTGGGGGATTATTTCTCACCCATATATTGGATGGTTCCACAAATGGTAAAAGCTCTTCCTCCTCTCTCCAGGCGACGGGACAAACCAAAGTCAGCTAAGCGGAGGTGTCCTAGAACAGACCATTTTAACCACATCATTATGCACACATGAGATTCTTCTTACTGATGCAGTTACAACTGGTATAAAATATACAAAAATTCACATCCTAATCAGATCTCATTAGCATATGTAATTGGGTGTAAAGCCTTTTCCCTCACAGATGTACTGTTTGCATTAATGTACATTGAGATACAGATGTGCACAGTCAGGATGTTCTCTGGAAAGGTCGACTGCACACCAGAGCTATGCTGCTCTCTACTGTTTTTTACTCACCATTGTCTGTAAGCAGGATATTCTCCATCTACAAAAACAATGCCAAAATGACTAAATTAGACTCCCATTCATATTAACAAACGTACCAAATTAACTATGATAAGAAAAATAATCTCATAGCAGATATTCCTGAGCATTACATATTTTATTCTAATTTGGTAATTAATTATTATTCTACACACAAGGTTGGGCATTTTAATAATATAAAAATGAAAAGTCATAAAACGTAATCTGTAGCCTGAAACAGCAAATTTATAAAAATTGCAAATAGCTACACAGGGAAAAACACATCATATATTGTACTTTAACTGCATTGATACATTTCAATATAATTATACTTCAATTATTATTATACTTCATAAACGGTCTCACATTTTGTTCCAAAAGTTGTGAATGACCTCCTTCTCTTACCTTCACGTCTCTGTGAATGATCCCAAAGTCGTGCAGGAAACCTGTGGAAAAACCAGCAAAGAAGAACAAAAATTAAAAACTCAACTAAAGAACTAAAATGTTTCAAATCCTACTGACATATCTAAAACCTGTGGCACTGCTTTGTTGCTATGGAAGATCCTTTGAGAACACCTCTCATTTTAATGAGTCCTTTTTTTATAATTACTTACAATTAAATACTGTTAGCTAGGGAAACCTTGCTGTAGTCACCTCTGATCTAATTGGGATATGTGAGGATAAAAGTGAGGTGGTTATGTATTATTATAGCATACTCACCGAGTGCACATCCCAACTCTGCTGCAAACACTCGCACTGTGTCCTCTGGGAACTGACCAATCATCTGCCAGTAGGTGTACAGGTCTCCTGTGCTGCAGTAGTCACACACTGTGGTAGGAGAGACAGCATTAAAACAGGTTTCTGTGTCATGCAATGTGGTGTGTGAGGGGTTGTGAAGGTCAGCGGGATGTGGAGCACACACTGGTGAAAGAAATTAGGAAAGAAGAGGATAATTAGGAAGCAAGGAAAGAGTAAAAATATATTTCTCTACAAACCAAACAAAGGTGATTAACTGTAGTCAGTCTGCCAAGTACACACAGTGTTAGAAAATAAAGGCAAAAAGGTGGGTTGGAGGTAAATAGTGCATAGCTGTGCGTATGTACTTGTAATACAGGAGGATGGCTTTAAATAGTCCTGATTTGCTTCAAATATGCCCCACATCTACATCCATGGCTTAATGATTCAGTGATGATTCACTGTTCAAGCAAGCAGGGGTCCTCTCTTATGATTGTGACACATGTGTTCTTGCTGAGCTGCAGCAGAGTTCAACATCTGTTCCCGGGGCTAACTTTGCTCTCTTTTCACAGGAGGTGGGGTAGCAAACAAACTGGGTCACACTTTCTGTGTCAGTGGCTGATTTGGGAAAAAGGGTAAATGCTCTGGAGGAGAGGAAAAGGGGGGCAGAGCAGACACAGGCAGTGGTAGATCGGTGGAGTAGTATCTGGGCAAAACAACCAGAATAAAAAGACTTTATGGGAATCTCCTTTTCTTTTGGTCATCTTATTCTATGTGTCAGGTTGGGGATTGTGGAGAGGTTCTGGACAAGACTACCAGTGTTGAGGTTAGAAAAGGTGGAGTGAGGGGTTTTTGGGTAGTGGATCTGGGTAGGATCGGGTCACTGGTCTCTGGCTGACTCACTAATGTAGAGGTGGCGCTGAGTCTGCCAGCAGTCCTGGAGGTCATGGACAAATGGGTGGCGAACCTGACGCTGTGGGCAAAAGTCCAAGATCAACCTGAAAAATCTCAACGATTTTTCTGTGATGTGACTTTAATTACAACTTAAGGTGTTGTTGGTGAAATTCAAAGACTAAAAATGTACATGTTTGGAATTAGATAATAAACTTAGACATTACAGATGCATCATTTTTGAGGGTAGAGTGAATTAAAATACCTAAAAAGTATATCACCTCCTCAGACCAATTACAATGCGTCCCACAACATAAGCTTCAGTCTTACGTGCATTTAATTTATACTGTAGTATGAATACCATCAGTGTTGATATAATTAATGAATTGGATATGTATTATAACATTTTATCTGTATGAGATATGTTATGTTCCTTTTCACAAATCCTATACATTTAATATTTTAGTTAGATCTTACTTCTGCAAAAGGTTAGAGAGTGATTGCAAAAAGAAAGCTACCTTCCTGTAATCCTCACCTGATACTGGAAAGTACTGATTTATACCCCACATGTGATAGGTTGAATATAAACATAACTGCTTATCCTTTTGAAAGCTTAGAGAGCCTATTTTAGTTTTTACTTAGGATAAGACAATAAATCATAAACACATATTTGTAAATATTGATTATTGTATGAAAAGCGTTGCTTTGTTTGCTGTATTTACTTTTTACAAAAGAAAGTCCTTTCAAATGCAGAGATTAATGACTGAAAAATTTCAAGATGCTGTTTTTTCAAAAATCCACAACTTGTTCCCAACACCCACCTGGACAATAACTTCTTCTTTTGACTGCTCCAACACCCCGAGTCTTAGAATCTCTGATTTAGGTATAACCTGTCGGACGTCAAAGATACTGAGATGAAATAAGACTACACAACACAGGACTGCAAGGATTTTGACATGCAACAAAAATACTTATTTCATTATTATAGTTTACTGTTACAATTGCAGTGATTTGTATATTAAAAGCCTCGATGGCTACAGTTAAAATTACTTGTACTGACTTGACGGTAATTTGGAAAATTAGTCAATTTTACAGGTCTTCGATAGTCAGAAGTAAAAATAGTATTAAGTCAAACCCAACCTATCTCATACTGTCTATCTTTTAACTTATTTACATACTATTATCATGAATTGATAAACTGTCTGTTCATTTTTGGCTTTGATCAATTAAATAAACACATTTAAAATGTGAGATTCAAGCAGAAGACTCACTTTGACAGCATACGTTTTCTGCTTGGTCTTGTCCTTCACTTTCAGAATGGGTCCAAACGAACCTTTGGCGATGTAACTCAACACCTGGTGGAGTGAAACACAGTGACAGAGGCAGAGAGAGATATACAAACACAAAGACAGAGCCATTATCCAATCAGATCAAGCCTTACATATCATTTCTGTCTATGTTGGACTCGAGGTCTACCTGAAAGTGTTCGTGCCCGGGCACAGTTCTGTGGGGGAATTCGGGCAGGAACATGGTAATGAACCCCGGCAGGCTCCACTCCGCTCTCAGCTTGCCCGGGCCGACTCCCGCCAGCCTGAGCACGTGCTCCGGGATGTCGGGGGCCTTGCCTTGGAGCATTCGATGCTGGCCCAGCCGCAGGGCGGGTGGGGCCAGGCGACATAGGCCTGCTGGGATAGACAGACCCATGCTGGAGAGGAAGCCACGCCATCCAGATGAGAAGTCCTCATCTTCCTGCCCTTCAGCGGCCCTCTGTAGGGGAGACAAAGGAAGAGGAATGCACCGAGGAGCATTATGGTACAGATTAGGAGATGGTGCAACACAACAATATGAATCATGTCAGTGAATATACTTTCTGGGAAGACATTAAAAAAAAAACATTTATGTGAATTTTCTACCAAGATCTTAAGGGCCTCGCTAGCATTTCTGCATGTTTTAGCCAACTCCAGGCACTATTCACTTCTGTTTTATGCGATCAACACTTATTAAGGCAGGCGTGCACGGCTAAAAGCAACTTTCTTCTTTTACTTGACCTTTTGGAAGTTCATAACCCAGAAACTCATGAGCCAACAGTGCTGGACAAGCACGACAAAAAGGATGGCCTTTTCAAAAATACATTTATATTCACTGTTTAACCTGGGAAAGTAAGCATTGCTTCATATACACACAGCTGGGGAGCTGCTCAGTGCAAACACATCTTCTGCTGTTGGAATACAGTATGTCCAACTCTGTAGCTATTGGACATGTATGTATTCTGAATGATCGGTCACTGATTCCCTTTGCTTCTCAGAAATGCCAGTCACTGCATATGAAAGGTTAATGTGGGGGGGAGAAATATCAATCTCTACCTCCAACCAAAGATTGTTGATTGCATTTGCATGATTATCAGTCTTATTTCACTTTGTGTCCGTGTGCAAACCCCCTAAAATGCATCGATGGAGCTGCAGAGGCCAACAGTTAATTCCACTTAACCAGCTTCCAGCTCTCATTTAAGATTTAACAAGAGAGAGAAAAAAATAACGCTTGATTTACATCCAATCTGCAGTCACTCGGTCACACACACAAACCTTCTCCTCCCCCCTCTAGGCTGCACAACAGATCGGATGCTCTGTGGAGCAGCATGTGTGTAATCAACCACGCAGGATGTTTCTACCAGAGCCAAATGCAATGACACACATCTACAGTCACTCAGCAGAAATAACTGCAATCAATGTGACATCTGCCTGACATCCGACCAGAGGCTGAGCAACGTTACGATTTAATTTGGACATTGTTTTGAGGCGTTTAATTGCAAATTGATGTCAGATGCCAATACCGGAAGCGTGAAGACGTCTTCAAAGTAAAAGCGTAAAGATTAAAATGTGCTTTTGAAGATAACAGGATTCTAAGGGGCAACATCAATCCCTTTAAACTATTAATTTATCACTAACTACGCAATTTGATTACACTTTATTTCAATATACTGTGTTTAAACACAGCCATCCCGGATTGGCACCGTCGTTGCTACCTGGGGATTTCAGGAGCCAAATAAACGTCATGAAAACAGGGGAATCCCCCCCCCCCCTCTCTCTTCGTGCGTCACACTTTAGCAACCAGGAATTTCACGCAACTCACCTTCTTGTTTTTACTACCGTCGGCCCCCATCAGTGTGACAGGACAGCAGCACCGTCAGCCCCGTGCGACGTCTGCTCCTCATCCAGGCACCTCAAATTGAACTACGCGCCTGCCCGGCAACCTATCAACAGTTTTGTGCACAACACACACGGCTAATTTAAGGGTTAGAAGACGCCCAACTAGCACGCGATGTCCATCCGCAGTTGAGCGGGCTCTCCGGTGCAAAATGTGACAGATATGGCGACATAAAAACAAGTTAATCCCGAGTATGGACAACGTCAGCGCAAATCCGCCCACATCGCCATCCAATGAGACCGCAACCTGGTGGAGTTCAGCTCCCCCTGCTGCTCTGTAATCAGAGCCGCAGACAGCTCTACATATAAATATAAATTTCTATTTACATTTGCATGGCAGACCTCAGCATGATTTTATTGTTTTTGTTTACAGGGAACAAACAAATGCATGCATCAATACAACTATGAATGCATTGTGTAGTGATAGATCTTTAATTGACCTCTTCGTATCACTTGTTCTAAAAAATAAAGCAGTGCATGCATATTTTTGCTGTCTCAACACGACGTTAAGAGCAGACCCATGGGGCAACATTATAGGTAAATTCATGCATGTTTGTAGCTTAAGCAGGGAGCCCAGGACGGTGGGGATTTACGAGCTCCAAGAGAAGGTGATCTTACAGGATGGAGTCAAGTGATGTTGGAAATGTACATAACTGGGTCCAGAAAACTGACTACTTAAAGTAAAAACTAAATCCAAACAAAAGACATTACAGCCCAAGTGCGTTTTATTTGGGACTAGGAACAAATAAAGCGAACAGTGACATCCATACATTTGACTTTCAACATATGTTAACCAATTTGTGATAATTTCTACAAAAAATAAACCAAACTGTTGAGCTTTAAATAAAACAAGTAGAAAAGGTTTTGTCAATCCATGTGGGAGCGTTGGGGGTTGAAGGAGCATCAGTTTCAGTCGTCCTCGTCGAAGTCCTTCCTGCCCTGGGGAGGTTTGGGTCCGCCTGCTGGTTTAGCCATGATGATCTGCAGGGAGAAAAGACAGCGGTCAGTCGGTGCTTCCTGTCTGGAAATCAAGAGCACGGAGGTCCGCGCAGCAGGCTGCAGACTGTGAGGCAGGCAGGTTAAACGTTTACAGCTCGAACTGAAGCAGACCTGTTTCAAAGTCGAAGGGGCCGATTTAAATCCAGACAGATACCAAAGTGGAGCATCTATGGTGATGAATTATTCATGAGCACATATGGCATACTTATGGTCAAAGAGAAAATGTGCTACAACCGAAAAATGGCTTCAGTGATTAGAGGAAAATGACCCTCCAGACAACAAAGCCACTCATTCACATGTTCCCTATATCAAATTATATCACATGCAACATTTTAAAATTCTGCACTTGCCGGAGGACGTCCAGTGCGATAAATAGCGTTCATGAGTGCATGCATCATGCCATCAAACCATACTGTATTCGTTTATAGTCGGAGTGATTTAGTCTTCCGTCAGTGACACACTTGGTATTATTGAAAAACACTCGAGAAGTGGCCGTTAGTAGTGACGGGCAAAAGAAAAACGTTTCACAGCTTCAGTGTCCCGTGAGCACATCGGTGTGAGTCAAAAACACACACACGCGCATTCCAGGACCTACTGACGGAGGAGTGTGTGTGCGCTCTCTTAATGGTGAGAGTCAAAATTATCAGGCGCTTCCTCCCAGTCGTCCTTGTCCCAGTGGCCTCTCTGCTTGGGAGCCTTGGGTCCCCCTGCAGCCTTAGCCATGATGATCTGCATCGCACACGTATACACACACGCTAACGTCAACTACCTGGAGACTAGTAATTCACAAAAGGCCTTCCCAATACTTGACCTGCGGAATTTAGGAACTTCATTAGGGTTTATATCAAATTATAAACACAAAAACAAATAGGACAGAATAGAAACAAGTCATCTGCTTTATGTGTATATAAACCTGGTGAGGAAAAAGTTAAAGCCAAATCCTTCCTTGAAATACACAAATAAATATTCCAATGCCATACAGCAACTATTAAAAGGGTATTGAAGTCGGAAAATGTTGAGACTGAAGCTGAATTCTCTTTAAAAAAAACAAACATTAGATGAGCATGATCTGGAAGTTGCTTTTAATCCTCCGTGTGTGGCGAGTATTTGTGAGTTTTTGTACACACCTGGTCAACTCTCAGTACTGTGATGGCAGCGTTGGTAGCCATTTTGATGCCCCAGTATTTGACCAGGTACGGCTCCAGAATGCCAGCTTCAAGCATGTCCTTCAAAGCGGGGCCTTCTCCCTAAAGACACCATCAGTCATCAGAACCAAACGCATACACATCTAGTTCAATATATACAAACATAAATGCCTCTGCATAGAGGAAAACAGACGTATGCACTTGAGCTATGGTTGCCACGAGCTAAATGTGCATGATTATGCATCACATCTTTACCTCACTTTATTTAAAATGCCTCTACAACAGCATGTGAAATGATGACTGAACCACACAGACTTAGTTGAGCGAGCCCCTTTTGACAGACGTTTTCAATATTTGTTCTGATCTCCTCGCGTACATATACACACCTCGATGTCGAAGCCGATGTTTTTGTTTCCCTCGTGGTGCGCAGAGTACATTTTGGAGATGAGTTCGCTCCCCTTCACACCGGAGTTCTCAGCCAGTGCTCGTGGAATAGCCTCGAAGGCTTCAGCAAACTTCTTAATGGCGTATTGTTCGAGGCCCGGGCAGGACTACGGAGAGTGGTGGGGGGGGGGAGAGAGAAAAAAAAGAGTCATGTTTCTGCAATTCATCAGCCGGTGATGCAGTAAAGACAAAAAAGGGCAAAACCACGAGGAGAGGCATTTGTCTGAAGCTGGTGCCCCTCTGTTTATGTACATAAATCTAAATACCTCTCCATATGAGGTGATCTGTTTGGCCAGTTCAATCTCAATGGCTCCCGCTCCAGGAACCAGTCGCTTGTCCTAGAGACAGTGAAGAACACAGAAACTGTAGCTGTTGTGCAGACCAAGTAGTACATGAAACTCTAAGGCAGAAAATAAGTCAATAAATATTCACTTTGACTGTTGAGATTTGCTGATACTTATAAATAATGAAAAAACAATTTGTGTGTTGAAATGGCAATTTAAAATAATTTACAGATTATTTCTTATTACCAAAAAAATGCTAAAACTCCTACAGCGATCTAACTTACCCTGACCAGAACCTTGAAGGTGTTGACTCCATCATCTACAGCTCTCTCTATGTCGTCCATCAGGTTGTCAGTGGAGCCTCTGATCACCACCGTTGAGAGGACACCGTCCTCTTTCTCTGTTCACAACAAATCAAAACCAATCAGTACATTGAGCCTAAAACTCAAATGGAGCGAATACCAGGTGTGAAATGAAGACTTTGGAGCAAAGAATGACTTACCGTGTTTGAAGACCACCACCTGAGTGTCCCCCACCTCTTCGATGTAGACGTTGTCACAGTGACCCATCTCGTCTGGAGTTGGGGCCGTCTAAGAAAACAGAAAAAAAGCATCATTATATATATATATGATATAACGTTATATTGTGGCTGATATACCTGATCAGAACATGACGACACTCACCATCCTGGGCAGTGCTATAGCTCCCAGAGTCTTGCATAACCTCCTGAGGTCCCACTTGGAGTTAAGCCTGAGGGGGGAAGGAGGCAGAATTAGGACATTGTGATAAAGTTATACAACCACAGATACTTTGCAATACCTCGACGTTAACACAGGCATCTCTCGTCGGCCCCAATGTGCAATGTTTTCACGAAAACACTTATTTGGATTATCGGCGGTCCCGTGGGTCTTACCTGACCACCATCAGGTTGTACTTGTTGGCATAGTGCAGCGCCATGTCAGCCACTTTCCCCCCGGTCACCACCACGTTGGCACCGGACTCCTTGATGGCCTTCACCTGAGCCTCCATCATGTCCTCCTCTCCCTTACTGAAGTCCATGAGCTCCTTTGCACTCTTTATCAGCACTGTGCCCTGTGAGACAAACAAGACGATTGTTTACACCCAAGGCCAGAAGCTTCCTCACAAGTAGACCTTTTTCACGGCAGATATTTTGACTCGTCATAGTAGGAAAAGTGTACACACCTTTTCCTGACGTGACGACGTATTGCTTACCTTGGTCTCTGTCACCATGCAGTCAAAGGGGCAGGAGAAGATGGCGACCTTAGCATCTTTCACTGATGTGATGTCTCCCTCCACTTCCTTCTTGAAAACCATGCCGTGCAGCATGGAGGACGCCGTCACTCCACAACCCTGAAAAAACACCGCAGACATTAACTTTCAGGCAAACGACACAAACACGGATTAAAAAAATATTGCAACGGACAACGCTGCTTACCAAAATCTTGCATACTCGGACATTATCAACATTGAAATTGCCGGACTCTGGGAAGATGGACACTGTAGCATAAAGCAGTAAAGACAAGAAAGTTAGAGAAACACTGAATTAATACTACCATCAAAGTTAATTATCTTTAAACAGCTAACAGCTACTGTTGTAGTGTTTATCAGTGTGCTATGTCATAACATTAAGGTTGACATTAAGTTTAATTATGACAAAACACCAATTTTAAATCTACAACGCATCTGTAATTATATTACATCCATGTAACATGCATGGCAACTACCAATGGCTGTGAAAGAGGTACTTTGGCATGCAGGTGAGCACACGTATTGCCAGGTGTGCCGCTGGTTAAGCTGCCACCTACGGTTGCCTTCCCCTGGTTCAGGTAGTCTGGATCGCTGACTCACCACAGGCCTGTGCGATGAGGCTGGCGAGGAAGTCCTCGTTGCCGTACTGTTTGCTCATGACGGCTGTGCGGATGAGAGAGGTCACCTCCTTAATGTCATGTAGGTCCTTGGCTGAGGAACACACGCAGTCCGACAGCATCTCCAGAGTCTTTTTACACGCCTTCTCATAGCCTTCAATCACCTGCGTCAGAGAGGAAAGAGAACATGGAGCAAATGCAGAAATTCTTTGGGATGAAAAAATGTACATTTTTGCAGACTATTGTATCAAAATCAGCCCCAAAATGTATAGTTTTTTCCATTGATAATGCTCAACACACCAAAAAGACAATGAACAGTGTTCGAACAAAAACATCTTTCTTCCTTTTACCAATATGTTTTTGCAACTGCAAACTATTTCCAGATACTTTGCCCCCGCCGTTACACCATCACATATACATGACGATATTCAGTGACTATACATCTGTTTACCTCCGACACCGACAGTCCCATCCTAAGAAGCTCTTCAGCCAGCTCCAGCAGAGCTCCAGCAAACACCAGGACGAAGTTTGTACCGTCTCCAACCTCCTGCTCTTGCATGTGGGATGCCATCACAATCATTTTGGCGGCAGGATGCTGCACCTATAAAAAACAAATGACAATCACAGAAACCGTTAAATCCTCTCATTTATAAATCAAATCTTGTACTCAGAATTGTTACACAAGAATGTGCGTTTTCCTCACCTCGAGCTCTCTGAGAATCGTTGCGGCGTCATTGGTGACAAAGAGCTTCTCCAGGTGGTTGATGACCATTTTGTTCATACCTGAAAAGGCACGACGTCACAGTTTAACCATCACTGACTTTGTGGTCTCATCAATATACATTTTATTAAGTAAGAATACATCTTATTGATGGACGAGAGAGCTTACCGTTGGGCCCATAGGCGGTGCGTGTGGTCTGAGAAAGCTCCTTACAGGCTTTGATGTTACGATAGACTGCCTCCTCGAGCCCTGAATAGTGCTGCATCAGAGGAAAACATAATTAACTCAACTGCTGGGACTTTTGTAGAGAGTTGAATTGCATGTCATTTATTGGCATTTTAAACAATAACTCTTTTTAATGAATCTATCAGCATGATCCTGGGGCAATAAGCAACCATGGACAGAAGCATCAGCACATGTAATATGTTCAAGCTAACCCCAAAACAGGAAGCATCAGCATCTCTGAACAGCCAGACATGGTGACAATGAAAGCCTCATCTCTGACAGTTAGCTCCACGCTAACTGTGTGTGACTACTAGTCTGACAGTATGTTATCATCATTGCAGCTGACGTTACAACACTGCAGACATATACAGCATGTTTTTAAGTGCTAGAGAGGACAGTGGAAAGACGCAGGCTTTGGTCCATCAGAGCGGCCTGGCTTCCTTCTAGAACTCTCCCACATGACTGCGTGCAAACTCGGTGGCTAACGCTAGCTAGCTAGCATGCTAAGTTAACAACCACACACTCAACGCTACCAAACTACTCCCAACAAAGTGATTTAATCTCACCTTGGCGCCATCCTTCAACATTTGGGCAAAGCCCGGCGCTTTGGGAACGTGAAGAGCCATTTTCGGATGTTTAGCAGCCCCGGTGTCTTGTGGAAGGTAGCCGCGGCGTGGGTTCAGCTTTGGGTACAAAGCCTGAGAGAGCGAGGAGGAGCGATTTCAGCGAGGCGTGGGATCAAAGACGGGAAACAACATGGGACAAACTGAGCGGTTCTCGTTTCCCCTACTATGACTATGACACACCACTTGGGGGAGCTGTTGCCCGTATGGTTCATCATCATTTATCTACTTGAGAAGAAGTAAAACTACCATGTATTAATACTCTCAAAAGTCCCACATTTACAAATGTACAAAAAGTCAAAGTACATGATTATTTATTATTGTGTACTTTTTTATGTTTATGCTTCGGCAAGACTGTTTATGAGACTTTCATGCCAATAAAGCCACATTGAATTTATTAAATTCATGATACAGCGATAAAAAACATACATTTTGGAGCTAATCACTATGAGGCTATTTGTATACACTGTTGGGTGGTTAAGGTTGAATCTAAATCATGTTTTATAAACTGTTCACGTGCTGTTTTATAGTAAAAATAAATATTTATATGTGATCAGTATGTATAAATCTGAAATGTAGCTGTCAAGTAAATGCAGTGGAGTAAAAGGCATAAGAATTATTAAAGTAAAATATAAGTAGGCTACCTCATAATTATTGTATGGTGCTTGGTAAAATATACTTATTTACTTTCCATGACTAGTTATAACATTATATCACATAATATAAAGCATTAGAAGTATTTTTTTTCAAATATATTTTCACTTATTAGCTTACGTTACATGTTCGGTTAAATATGATGTTGAGCCAGGATACGTTGTAAACGTATCCACTGAAATTCAAACAATCAGAGCTTCACAGTTGTACGCCTCCGTCAACCAGTCATGTTGCATTTACAATCTAATCGGGTTATCCTTAGTTTAGTCCAAGTGGACATTTGAAGAAATTCCCTGCAGGTGTTCCTGAGGTATGACTCACTACATAAGTATGGACAGTCATCCCATAAACATGGCGGAGGGGGCCACAGCTGTTGCATGCATGGAGGTATAAAAATACACAACTTTTGGGTTTTTGAAGCTCAGTTTTTATTGTGTGATTTTTTTCTCTCTCCCACATTTAGGCACAACAGCTCCCTTTCTCTTGTTAATACATAGAAACATCAGAGACAAAGTGTTTCGCTTCACTTAAGGCTGTTTGTTTTGAAAGTGATAACACTAATAACCTGCTGGATATGGCTTTATAACATAATCAGGTAACGAGTCATTACATCTTCCCCCATTACATCATCAAATGATTTATGTGTATAGTATCGATGTATGAATCATCCGCGGGCCAGTAAAAGCGCCAACCTCAGCCTGAAGTAAAAAATATGAGGAAAAAGAACATTTCACTCAAATACTACCGAAGCTATTATATAAAAAGTCCCTTTTCCAAGAAAATAATCTTTACATGTTAGCATAATCAAATGACATTTAATAAAAAAAGGACTAACAGATGTTAGTAACATTACTGCATATGTATAAAGTACAGGAAAATGCATCTCTCCTTTGTCAATTTAGTGTTAGTTCTGAAAAACAATTTTAGTCGTTTTTTTCAGACATTGTAGAAACTAGAAAAAAAATGTAGCGAACCTGAGACATGCAAACACAAGAATCTCTTGAATGTTGCCAACTACACACAACATAGATATAAAAAAGACAAGCTGCCACGTAACAGTCTCCCAGTATCATACTGACAACACTACAATGTAACTGATACCTCGATAAAGATATATGTATATATATATATATCTATATATATATCTATATATATATCTATATATCTATCTATATATCTATCTATATATCTATATCTATATATCTATATATATCTATATATATCTATATATATCTATCTATATATATAT